GCTGTGGATGCAGGAGGTGCCCTCACAGCCCAGCCAGAACACCTTGCCTGGGCTGCCAGGACCTTCCCGGTGGAAATTAAAGCGGTCCCCACGGATGGGAGGTGGATTGGTGCTGGAGAGGCTGTGGCACGGTTCTGGGAAGGCAGCCTGGCCCCGGGAGTTGCGACACAGCCGAGTTTTTTGTGTTCCAAAACAAGGAACGATAACGGCGGCAGCGGAGCCGGGGCCGCGGGAGGCTGCTAAGCTAAATGAGACAGGAAGCACGTAATTCAATTAGGTACAGAGCAGCACCAAGACATCTGGGCTCGGGGSCTGTTGCATAACCCCGGGGAGAGCTCTGCAATATGAAATATCTCACCTAGTGCAGCCCGTGCTGCCTGTCCTGGAATAGCATCTCCTGCCCCATCCAAGGGCAGAGGCAGAAGAGGGGCCTGGTGGATGTGGCAAAGGGTCTGTCCCAGCTTTGGGGAGGAGACAGGCTTTGTTCTTTGCTGGAACAGCCCAATCYCACTCCTGTGCCTGGGCTCACGTGGATCTGTGTCCCAGGGCCACGCTCYGGATCAGCCCCGTGGTGTGAACGTGGTGCTTCCCGTGGCTGTCAGCATCTTCTGCCCAAAAGGGACATTTGGACTTTGATGGACTCCTTCCCCCTCACTGGGGCTGTGCAGGGATCTCTCTCCCACCAGGGGCAGCTCCTCATCTCTGCCTCACCATCAGCTTTGCCTCACCTGAGCCAAGCGTTTCAACAGCTGCCACAGGGGACGAGGTAAAACAGCACACACACGCTTGTCCATCGCTCTTTATTTCTCTGGGAAGAAGCAGCAGGCAGACAGTGTCTGAAGCAAAGCATGGAGGTCAGCAGGCTGTCATCTCAAGGCGGGGATGTGCAGCGTTTCCCTGCTCTGGCTCACATCCCCCGTGCCCCTCATTGCTCTGCTGCCATCCCAGCTGTGTTTTTGCCGTAGTTACATTTGCCTGGCTGCCTGGAGCAGCACGTGGTTCCCAGCACGGTGGAACTGCAGCCAGAAATCATCTGTCCCCTGAGCCTGCAACACGTGGCCGGGCTCCTGGAGGTTTTCCTCTTGGCATCACCTGCTCGGATGATGCCTCAAACACCAGGCAGAGTTACCAGAGCCTCCCGTGACTTTGCAGATGTGCAGAGAGGTAAAGGACAGAGATGAATCCCTGCTTAACACCCCAAAATGATGAGGCAGGGCATTGCTGAGCCTCACACTGAATCTGTGTGGAGAACAGGGGAGAAGATGGAGATGTAGGTGGTGAGGAGAAAGGGCATCACCACCCTAAATGCCCTGGTCACCTAGCACAGSTGGGAGGTGAGAGCCAGCCTGCTTTAGCAGGGGRTGCACTGGATGATCTCCAGAKGTGCTTTCCAGCCCTGACCATTCTGTGACTCTGGAATAGCTGTGACCCTCCCCGTGGGTACCAGGAGCCTGTGCCCATGTCAGTGTGACACTGCTGTTGTGACACCAGTGCTCCCAGCAGGGTGCTGGATCACCAGGCTGGTGTAGTCAAGCACTTCCAAAAACTTTTCCTGAGCACTGAGCACAGTCCACCCTGTGAGCACAGACTCCTCAGCAGCTGTACAGGCAAAGCAACCCCACAGCCCTCCAGCCTTTACCCTCCCCTTCTCCCCCAAAATCCACAGTGAGGATCACAGCCCTAATCATGGTTTTAAGGCACAGAGGAGACATGAATAAGAGCTTTGTGTGGCTYCAGTCATTTATCTGTAGCTGAATATCTGCTAACCAAGAAGACTTAAACTTGATTATTCGAGTGAAAAACCCCAGAGCCATCGGGAAAGAGGCTGCTTTTACATTACAGCTGAGACAGGAGCTAAAAATGTGTGTTCAGCCATTAGTCCTGATGCATCTTTCCTGTCYGTCTGTGAGCAAGACCATTCTGTGGCTTTTTTTTAAGTGGTAGGGGAAAGACAGGACTCCCTTTTACAGCTCACGGGGGCTGAGGTGCCTCATGCTCCTCCCAAAGCTTCCCATCCAGATGTCCTCATGCTCCTGCTCCCAAAGCAGCTTGAGAGGAGCTTTTCTCCCTGGCCCAGGGCCGAGATGGCTTCGTGCTGCCACCCTCCTGGCACAGTTCAGCTCCCCTGGGAAAGATGCTCTGGCAGGGGAAAGATGCTCTGGCAGAGTGCTGTGTGTGATGGATGCAGGCAGCAAGGGTAGGAGACAACCTGAGCTCTGGAAAAATGTCTGAGCTGGGAAGAGCAGGCGCCAAGCSGGGAGGAAGGGAGAGGATGAGGAGGGGAAATGGCAGCTCTGGCCTCGCCCTGGGCTGGCCCTGAGAAGGGGAGGTTTAAGGTCACTCCCTTGCAGAGTCACTGAGCTGGGGAATTGCAGGGAGGGCAGCTCTCTGGGATCCTGTGTGAGCCTGACCTCGGCACAGGGGACCTGTTGGATGTCACAGACCTCTGGAGCTTGTGGCACCAGAYCCTGGGGTCCACTGGTGCGCAGAGTCTGACACTGGTTTAACCCTTTCTCTTCATCTTTCTGTTTTGCTGGCTCAGTCCTTGTCCTCCCGCTTCCAGCCTCTCCCTGGCTTTTAATCTCCTTTCAGTTCTGAGGTCTCATCAGGATGCTTCATTATCAGATGGCTTTGCTCTGCCTTCCTTTGATGTGCATCCCTTCCCTTCCCTTCTCTCACCACACACCCAGCAGGGAATTTGTGATGAAGGAATGCAACCTCAGCCAGCACATGGGGCCAGACATTGTCCTTCTCAGTTCCAGCTGTGAACTGGCAGTGCCATGAAGGGGGAAATGCAATYATCACACCCTCCTGTTCTATCTATACCACACTGTCCCAGGAAGCACAAACCCTCCTGGCCCTGGGATGCCGCCTGCCTCGGCTGGGACTGGCATCCCCTGCTCGAACCGCTGGGGCAGTGCTGGCAGGGCGGGGAGGTTTGGGAGCCCCGGGGCATTGGGATGGAGCGGCAGCATGGGGCTGACGCCTCTGGCCGTGCGCTGCCGCGTCTGTGCTGTCCCTCGCTCTCCCACCCGCCGGCGGTTACTCAGCAGGCTCCACACGTCGATGGAACGAGCCTGTTTTTTCCTGTTCTCGAGGAAGCAGCTATGACTGTGATGCTCAAGGACAAGCCTGGGCCTCCCACTCCCCCCTCCCTTAGCAGAACACACAAACTTACCTAAGCTCTTATCTTCACGGGCGCTGCCAGAGCAGCTTTTGGTTGGCTGGAGGCTGGAGCGATGCTGGGTCCCCCTCCCCGCTCTCCCGCCTCCCACCCGATATAAAGCGCGGCTCGGCGCCGCTGCTCCAGCCGCCAGCACACGACCGCGGGGCAGGTGGTGCCGCAGCTGCCTGTTGCGCCCCCCGGCCATCCCCGTAAGGAGCCGATGAGTTGCTGGATGCCTGGGTGCCCAGCTCTCAGCATGTGCCGGGGCTTAGCCGCGCTCCCCATCACTTGCCTGGAAAGGTAAGGCGCTTCTGGGATGCAGAGGGTTCGCTGGAATGGATGCACCCGSACCAGCCTCTGCTTCTGTGGACGTGATGTTAGGGCAGAAACTGGGGTGCAGACCTCAAAGAAACACKCAGCGAAGTGATTTGTGGCGGCTGCCTCCCGTCTGCTCTCCAGGAGRGGAGCGCGGAGGTAAAACATGCGGAGGGAGTCTGGACAGGGCTGCCCGTGCCGGGCTGTACAAACACACCAGGGCTGCTCCTGCTCTGCCTCCGCACAACTTGACAGCAGCAGGAGTGTTTTTGTCAACACGGTTGAACTGCTCAGTGACATGTTGCTCCTCCTGCCAGCCACGGCTGACATTTAAACCCTGATTTTTTGTTACGGGCGCCTTGGGACGCCCGAGCGAGCCGCAGCACACCGACAGCAGCGGGGCCACACGCCGCCCCGGGGGCACCCTGGGGACGGGAGCCGCTTCTGCTGCCGTGCTGCCGTGGAGAGCTCCCGGCAGGGAGGCGCCTCCTCCGTGCCCTGGRCGCGGAGCCGCGGGGACCGGCAGCAGCATCCCAGCCTCGGGCACAGCAGCATCGCTGCCGCCGGCTCCCGAAGGCATGGGGTRGGTGCACGGCGCTGCTGCGGAGTGCAGCCCTCTCCACGGCCTGCTGACAAGCTCCTGGGGACCGAGGGGCACCCCAAAGAAAGCAGGGGAACAGCAGCCTGGCAGCAGGGAGATGCTCCCGCTCTCCGAGCGGAAAGAAAGCGCTGCGTTTTTCCAGCGGTTCGGAGGCAGCGGAGCGCTGCCGGGAGAGYGGGATGGGAAAAGGAGCCAGGTCAGCCCCGGGGAGCTGCGGGGGCTCCAGCTGGGCACGGAGCAGCTGCTCTGTTACCTGCCCCGGAGGAAAGAGCTCGCCGTGCTTTGTATTCCATGTGTCTGCACCTGGGAAGCGAGCAGGGGAAAACAGTCCCCGCGGCTGAATGCGCTGCCGAGCGTGGTTGCCAGGGAGCAGGAGAAGCAAGTGGGGACCATTTATTTCATACATCAGAGAGCAAAGCAGTGGCTGGAGCTGGGGACCGAGGGCTGTCCCCCCGATCCTGCGGGGTGCAGCCCCTGCCAGGGGAGGGGGTGGCTGCAGCACTGGGATGGTCCAGCGATCCCACCTCTCCCCTTCCTCCCTCCCTTCCAGAGCCAAGGATCTGAAGASCCGCTTAGGGATCCTGCTTCATAAACCCGAGCTGGGACACAGGATTGGGAGCTCCAGCAAGCTGCAGCTGGGCTCCAGGCGGAGGTAAGCCAAGCAGGACTCTGTCCCAGGCTCAGCCCGGGTCAGGTCCCCGTGGATCAGCCTTTCCCGGGGGATGCTCCTGCCCATCTGCGCAGCAGAGAGCACCGAGCGCGGCTCCCCCTCCCCATAGTCCCACCCAGGCAGGCCGGGAAGGCGGATCACTTCCCAGCTGCCGCGGTTATAAAACCCGACGGGGGAACGGATGCTCTGGCATTAGGCACGGAGAGCAGGGCCTCGGCGAGAGGCAASAATCCCGCAGGGCTCCTGCCGTTCCTGTGTCTCACCGGTGCCTGGGATCCTTGGGGAATGCAGGCAGCATTAAACACAAAACCCTAAATATTGCTAGGGTCTTCTTGCAGAGGAGGCTCTGCTGGACTGGTACCAGCAGAAAAGTGCTCTTCTGAGCATTCCCCAGAGAACCTGCTGGAGTTGTATCGGCGCAAAAGGGTTCTTCTGAGCATTCCCTAGAGAGCCTCCTGGCCAACAGCATGGAGCTGAGGTCGGGTGAGCCGTCAGGGAAGGTAAAAGAAAGGGAGGAGAGAGGAAAGAGAGCCCACAGGTAATGGATATTGGCCTCTCGCTCTGGTTTCCTGCTCAGTGCCACTGTCTCCACTGATGGAGCTGCACAGCTGAGGTGCTCCCGTCCCTCGCCGCTCAACAGCAAGCCTTACGTCCTTTTGTCTTTTCCAGGGACTCCTCCCGAGAGGTGCTGGAATGGAGGGAGTCCTTCGACCAGCTCCTCAAGAGCAAAAGTGAGTAGCATCTTGTTTTCTTCTCTTAGTGGGAGCGTGTAGGACAAATGGGCTCTTAGTAAGCTCCATGCCCGAAGTCAGAGTATGATGAAAACCTCGACTCCTTCTCAAATGAGGTGTTTTAGGATTTAGAAAGAGGTCCCTTTCCTGCCCAGATCTGATGCACAGGGCTCATTGCTGCCTCATGAAGCTGTGCCCTTTCCTCCTGGCTGGGTGTTTTTGGGAGGGCACAAGTGTTGTCTCACAGCACCTCACGGCCGCCTTGGGACAGGAGCACTGTCACGGGCATCCCACGAGGAGCAGCCCGCCAGGGGGAACGTGACGGTATTCCCAGACCACCCCTTTCTGCCCGCTCGGGAGAAGCCAGCGCCTGCTCTCAGCGCCTGCTGGTGACAGCGATGCAGCCACCTCCCCTCGGGCTTGCTCAGAAAGCGGCATTGCTGCCCTCTGTCTGTCTGTCCTGTGCCTCCGGGGATGTCTTTTCCAGAGGGAGAAGGMATTCAGCTGTTTTACTGAGAAACCAGAGCATTTCCCCGCTGTGCTATTAGCTGTGTGTCTGATGCACAGGCTCCCGTGAGACGCTGTCTCCCTCTCCCCATGGCACACAGCACCTCCAGACCCATGGATGGGACCTCTTTTTCAGTCCCATATGCAATCCCCCCCTTACACCGGGCTTTGCACAATGGCAGGAGTGCCAAATTTCAATCCAAAAGTAGTTTTCTACCTTAAAAGCTCTTCCCCAGCCAGGCAAAATCCTTCCACAGCGCTAGTCTGGGGCCAAGTGTATTTTTTTTTCCAGCCTTCCTCACGTGCCGTGGTGKCTAACGAGCATCTCAGGCTTTGTAACTTAATACAGCCTCCCAGCAGGGCTCTGAAATCCTTGCTGCAATTACTCTCCCATCCTCAGCATCTCGTTCCCCTCAGATCTGGGCTGAGAAATCAAAATAAAGGCACGGCTGCTTGGTTCCTGCAGCGTTCCAATGCGTCAGTGCGCTTCTCCTTAGGTAGAATTAGCTCTTTTCCGAAGCTGTAAAGAAAATACTCTGAAGCCTCATTACAGAAAGGTCAGATAAATAAAACCAGAGGATTACTTGTCTGTGGGAAAGGATTTTATTGGAGTCTGGAGGCCAATTAGCAGTGTCTCAGAGGATGGAATTTGCCTGGAGGGAAAGGAAATCTGCAGATGTCACGGTCTGAGCTCCCAGGGCGATGCTYGCCAGGCAGTGCCTGCTGCTGGTCCTCATCCTCCTCCCTGTCTTCTGTCCCATTAACTGCTTTTCTCCCTCCCCAGGTGGGGTGAATGCCTTTCACACCTTCCTGAAGACTGAATTCAGCGAGGAGAACCTCGACTTCTGGCTGGCATGCGAGGACTTCAAAAAGACTCGGTCGAAAACCAAGTTGGCCTCCAAAGCCAACAGGATCTTCGAGGAGTTTGTCCAAAATGAGGCACCCAGGGAGGTGAGAGCATTTTCTGTGGCATCAGATAGGGTGGGAAAGGARTCAAATATCCTGGTGGGTTTTATTAAAGTGCACTGGGATCAGTGGGAAGATGCGCTCTCGTTCACGAGAGCTTTCATTTCTAACATCGCGTGGTCCGTCACCATCGATTAGTTAATGTTGGAATAGACATTGAGTCCAACCACAAAGGGATGGAAAGGATTGTGAGCATMTCCACCCTCATCTGAAGACGGATTAAAAGCAGTTTTTGCCCCCGCATAGGAGAGGAGTTAACTTTTGTGGGTGCTGCTGCCTTGCAGGTGAACATCGACCACGAAACCAGGGAGATCACGCGCAAGAACCTCTCGGGKGCCACCTCCGCCTGCTTCAACGAGGCGCAGGCCAAGACGCGCACGCTGATGGAGAAGGACTCGTACCCCCGCTTCCTGAAATCCGCCTCCTACCAGGACATGACCAAGCAGGCCACCGGCCGCGGCAGCAGCAAGCGGTCGCACACCTGACCCCAGCCCCGACCGGCGGCGGGGGGACGAGCCGGGGGAGCAGGCGCGCCTTGGGATGGGCTTTGCGGGGGCCCAGGTCCGTGGGGCGGGCTTTCGGCCGAAGCTCTGGGATTTTAGCAGGATCCCCAGGACCTCGAGCGCTTCCCGCTCCGCACGGAGCCGCTGGGCCCGGCATTCCTCCCTCCCTGGAGGAGCGGAGCGCGTTGGAGCCCCGYGCCTCCCCTTGCAGCTCGGCCAGAGCCACCGCAGAGACAGAAAGAAATGGGATTTGAGCTGCAAGCCCAGGAAKAAGAGGCTGGATCCCCCTGAGCATCCATCACTGAAGAGCTCCCACCTGCTCTCTGACCTGCAGCAGGAACCTGCCATTCCCACACGCAGGGAATGGCCAGGATAAAAGCCCCAAGACTATGTGGCATTTCCAGCTGGAGAGATCCTGCACCTGCCTTCCTTTGATCCCACGATCTTCCAGCTGTGTCCTATGCATGCTTTGCACTGAAGCTTTCCACCTCCTTCCCGTGCAGTGATGTTTTTACCCCTTGCTTGAGCTCCATGACCTTCAGATTGCACTGAACCTTAGGTCACGTGCGCAGCGTTTTGCTCCTGTTATTGTTATTTATTTTATCATCGTTGTTATTATTATTATTGTATCTGTATTTATTAGAACACTGCTGACAGCACACACACGCTCCCCTTGCTCCGAGGAGCTTGTAAATTAAATTATTTTAGCTCTTGTAGCACTTAGCATGCCTCCCACCCTTCCTGTGTAATAATTTGAGAGGACCAGACAGATTTAACACAATTAGGGAGCAAGGTACGCCAATAGCAGCAGGGAGAGCTGCTAGACAGGTCTCAGGAGACAGTTTTTGCATGGATGGCAGTACAGGGAGGCTTTACAGCCCATGTTGTTTTCTTTCTCCTCTAAAGGATGTGGGCAGCATCTCAGCACACAGCAGCTTGTCCTAGGCACAGAACAGYGAGGTCAAACAGGCACTTTGGGGAGTCACCCTATGGAAAACTTGGATTTTGCACATGGGGGAGAAAACCTGGAGCTTTGCACAGGTTATCATTGGGCTTGGTGTCCCCTTGGATGGTGACAGCAGMCTGCAGCCACAGCACTTTAGCAGAAACCCATGGGGTCAGGGAAATCAGTGCCGTGAGTCCAGTGACTCGGAGGGGTGGCAGGACACATCATCAGCTCAGACCTGGGGGGAGCTGTTCACAAAGTCCCTCTCAGCAGGAATTTCGGGCTCCTGGAGAGGTGTGGATCCTACCTGGCAGCAATGGTGCCAGCAGCTGCCTGGGTGGGTGATGTGGGACCTGTGCTGGCTCCTGGGGAATGTGTCCCCAGCACTGCTCCCTGCTGAGAGCTCCTTTGCATGGCTCTGTTATCCCTGCAGACCAAACCTGGAGGTTCTTATCCCACTGGTCCTCACTCCCTGTCCAGGGAAGTGTCTTCTGCCCCCAGTCCCAGCAACAGCCAGAGCACAGCATCRTTTGGGCTTTTCACAGCAAGGGGCCAAGGACCACCCTGGGGATGTTCTTCTGAGTCCTCTTCCACCATCCCCATCCTGGTSCCACCTCTGAGCCTCTGGCTGTGGCCCTGGCTGTGTTTATGGGGAGATATCAGCTGCTTTCTTATTTATTATTTATTTTTACAACTGGAACCACCTTTGACGTGTTACTGAAGTGAGCGATGCACAACGGTCTGTTCTCATTGCTGACGTAACCTTGTCATTATAAAATAAAATTTAAAGAGGAAAATACCCTAACAGTATGGGCTGGGTCTTTTTTTTTTTTTCTGGTTGTGGGTTCTCAATTAAATTTTACATTCTAATTTTGGATGCTTTGCAAAGCTGCTTGTGTTGCATGACTCAAGGGGTATTTCCAGTTTCTTTAAAAGCGACCATGCCAGGAGCAGAAGAGGAAGATTTTTGAAAAGTAAAGCTTTGTGGTGCTTGGGTTATTAAAGAAAATTGAACAGTTCATAGAAAGAATGAAAGCAGAAGTGAAGTTTTGGATATATGAGTTTCCAATGTGCTCAGCACTGCTTGTATTGCTCATAATTTCTGAGCCCTTTACAGGACTGCAGTTCCCAATATCTGCTTGGTGTTACTGAAACACCAATGTCTTAAAATTAGGAGAATCCAAGTGAGGGCTGCTTTTGGCAAAAATCATGCTTTTGAGTTATACATAATAATAATGTATAATGCATTATTATTATTATTAATAAATAATACTTGATTTTTATCAATAACACACCTGATGATTGAATTAATTTACAAAGGGGAAACTCTCTGGTATTAGAGAGGTTATCAAAAATCATCCTACACCTGTGCTGAGAGGTCTGAGCACATCCTGCAGTGCTCTGGGAGGGAAGGGGATGATTSCATGGTCTCTTTATCCCTCCAGGGAGAGCCCTCCACGGTGGCAACACAGGGAGTGAAGCATCCCAGTGAAGCTTGAAGCTTGGAATAAAAACCCAACCAAAACATGTTTTTTTTCCAGTTGCCTTCTTTCTATTTACTGCATGTTCTGGAAGCCAAAATTAACTGACCTGCGTCAGCGGGGGAGAGCATGAGGGGACTGCTGAGGAGGAGCTGGAATCACGGGGGAATAGCTCAGGAATAACTCGGGAATATGCATGTTCCAAGGTGTTACTACGAGCACAAGCCACCCCCAGCCATTCAAATGCCTTTTACGAGCACCTACAGCTTCCACAAAACCTCCTATCCCTTCTCATGCAGCCGTGCAGGGTCCAAGGATCACAATTATAAAACACATCAACTCTGCTCCATCCCTATTCCCTGCTTATCCAGAGGGAAGCAGGATGAGCTTCCCCTCACCTTTCATTTCCTTTTAAATTAAGGATGGCCTTGTCTTACAAGCCAGGTGATTTGGGATCACAGCAGTTTGCACCTGTAGCTGATCTTTGTATGTGTCAGAGGGAAGAAATGAGCTGAAAAGTATCCAGGAAATATTTAAATTACTCATAGGGAAAGAGTCAGGGGAGTAAAGTACACTAGAAGCAGCTAGAATAAAAAATAATGTTGTTTTCCCTTTTTATTTTTTTTTAAACTGCATTTTCTGAATGAGAAATATGAATACTTTGTGTTGCATACCCTGAAGATAATTTAAAACTGATTTTCCATTAAAAAATTAAATAGGTCAACAAAAAAAAAAAGAGGAAAAATATAGAATTAGGATAATTTTGAGCTTTCTTTATAAGGAAATCTGGGGCAGTTTCCATTCTTGCTGTGTCATGCATGGTCTGAGCTAAGTCTCAGCTTGGTGGCAGCTCTCAGCCCTCACAGCTGATCCTGAACAGCCCCGTTTGCATCCCAATTTCCTCTCTACAAGCCTGACATGCTTCCCAGAGAGAAAATTCAGCCTCTCAAAGCGAGCCCTGCATCCAGCTGTGGCTGCTGCCTAAACCCAGCGGTAATACAGCAAACCCTTAAAGCCTCAGGGGAATAAAAAAAACCCAACCCACAAAGCCACGGAGAGAAAGAGGAGCCAAAACCTCCCCCAGTGGCTGCGGTCTGTCCCAATAAACCCCGGCTGAAGTTTCCCAGGGAGGAGGCTGCGAATTTGGGAGCAGCTGAGGAKATTTGACCTGAATGTGGGGGCTGGCACTGTCCTCCCTCCTGGGCTGTGAACACAAACTTGCTCCAGGGCCAGGTTTCCATGAGCCAGGATGAGGGGTGGGATTTATTTGGTGGAAAAAAAGCCTTTTCCCTGTGTCCTGGGACTTGGAGCATTTCCAGCAGCACCTCAGGGGCTCCTGCAGCCAGAGGGTCCCTGCTCCAGCAGGACCAAGCTGATTTGGGGTGGCCTTAGGATGTGGACATGGATGCAGGAATGCACAAGGATAAGTATTTAGGCAGGTGCAGATATAATTTAATTATCATTTAGGATATACAGATATAAATGTAGGAATTCTGAACTTTCATTTTCCATGGATACACACACGTGACAACACACAAACTCACGGCTGCACGTGTGCACATCCTCCATTTATATCTCTTTTTTAAAAAAGGCTGCAATGGATTGCTGTAAAACATTATTTAGGTGAGTTTTGGGAGGAAGCTCCGCAGCAGAGAGGATGCACTGAGCCATTCCAAACATGGCAAATGCCCCCAGGCCGGCCAGCGGGCAGGGAGCAGCTGGATGGCATCACTCTGTGCTTCCACTGCAAGGGCAGTGCCCCAGCAAAGTGCCACAACTCCCAGCTGATGTGTCCCCACAC